TGAAGAGGCACAATGTAAAGTTATATGAAAATTATCAGAGATTTATCTACACTCTCCCCACAGCCCTGAAGCGAGCCGTGCTCGGCCTGCTGCCCGCCTGCTGTGCCCGCTTCCTCTGGAGCCAGCCCGACCAGCTCTGCCTCAGCAAGTTCTTCCTGGGCGCAGGCGTCGGGGGCTTCCTGGCCCTGGGTGAGTCCAGCCGGGACTTGTAGGGGGGCTGGGGAGGCCTTTGGGGTCCCTGCTGCGGGTGGGGGGGGTTAAACGGAGGGGCTGCTTGGGAGCCTGTGATGGGGGCCAGTAATGCCAGGGCATTGGTGACAACAGGGATGTTGGGGTGTCTGGGGGCACTGGGGTATCGGGGGGATATTGGGGTGGGGGGGTCACCGCAGTTTAGCTCCATCAGCCTCCAACCCCATTTTGTTAAAGCGGTGCCATTGCCTTGCGCTGCCCAGGCTGCAGCCTTCCTGGGCGTGGCACAGCTGGGGGGCAGGGCGTGTGTGGGGCCGGAGGGAGGGATGTGTGGGCAGGGAAGGGCCCCAGGGGCTCAGGGCAGCTCCAACATTCCAGCTTCTTGGCTGTCCAGGCCTCTCCCAGCTCCTCATCTTCCCCATGAGCCTCGACGAGGGTCACAAGATCGAGCTGATGTACGGGCTGGCAGGTGGGTGCCCAGAGGGTCGGTGCCCCCTGGTGGGTAGGTGCCCATGGTGAGGGGTCAGTGCCCCATGGTGAGTGGGTGCCCAGGGGGTCAGTGCCCCATGGTGGGTGGGTGCCCAGGGGGGCAGTTCCCCATGGTGGGTGGGTGCCCAGGGCAGGGCTGTTTGTGTTTCCTGTGGTGGGTGGGTGCCTTGTGGGCCTGACTGGTGCCCAGCTGGGCCGCAGGCTGTGGGGAGAAGCCACCAGCTCTCTCAGCCCCTCTCCCCTGCAGGTGTCAATGCCCTGGGCTGGGGCATCTCCCCGCACTTCCGCTGCGCCAGCCTCCTGGTCGCCCCCAAGTTCCTGGGCAAGGAGGGGCGGCTCTACCTGCTCACCTACGTCCTGGCTGCCGTCTATGACGGTAAGGAGACAGGCCAAGGCTGGAGATAGGTAGGCGCGGGGCCCCCTTACTGGGCACCTGGTGTGACCCCCCCCCATTGGGTACCAGGTGTGACCCCTCCCTCCCCACTGCGCCCTCACTGGGCACCTGGGGGTGACCTTCCCCCCCGCCCGACTATAACGATGCTGCCTCTGGCAGGACACAACAGAGTGTATCAATTCAGGACAAATTGCTTAGAGCAGGGCAGTCACAGCCCAAGGCTGGCGTCCTTTACACACCCAGGCAAATCAAACCAGCCAGACAGAGAGGACTTCGGTCTCACCCCACTGGCTAACCACAAGTCACACAAGCAATTCCCTCAGACACTCCAGTTTCCCAGTATCCCCACCAGCGCCACTCGTTACGGGGACGAATGATTATGAAAACCAACACCCCAGTAAAAGAAAAAAGGTTCTCCGATCCCAAAGGACCAAGTCCCAGACCCAGGTCAATATACAAGTCAGATCTTACCCACAAATCACACTGTTGCCAATCCTTTACAATCTAAAATCTAAAGGTTTATTCATAAAAAGAAAGAAATATAGATGAGCGCTAGAATTGGTTACATGGAATCAATTCCATACAGTAATGGCCAAGTTCTTGGTTCAGGCTTGTAGCCGGGATGGGATAAGCTGCAGGTTCAAATCAAGTCTCTGGAACATCCCCCGCTGGGATGGGTCCTTCAGTCCTTAGTTCAGAGCTTCAGTGTAGCAAAGTCCCTCCAGAGGCAAGAGGCAGGATTGAAGACAAGATGGAGGAGCTGCAGCAACTTTTGATAGTCTCTTGCCATGTGACTTCTCTTTCTTTGTTCAAAAGACAAGCTGCCCAGCACATGGCCTGGAAAAACCTCCGAGTTCTGTCCATGGGCAGGTCCCTGCATGTCTTGCTGAGTCACAAGGTGTATCTGCTTCTCTCAATGGGTCAGTTGTGTAGCTGACGGTCCGTAATAGGCAATCAAGCAGGCTAGGCAGCGCTGACACCAACTTGTCTGGGGTGTCACCCAGAAGCACACACGGAGTTGGAAATACAGACAGTCTAGAGCCGATACTTATAACTTTCAATACAAAAAGATCCATGCACCCTGATAGCATCATCATACCCAGCAAACCAGAACCTTGTCGTAGACACTTTACTTGATCTCCTTTGTACAAGATTTGGTGCCACTACAGGACCTTGGTTGCAACCATGACTTATATGGTCCCAGTTTGTGTCAATAATGTCACCCCCCTCCTCACTGCACCCTCACCGGGTACCTGGTGTGACCCCCCCCAGCCACTGCACCCTCACCAGGTACCTGGTGTGACCCCCCCCCAGCCACTGCACCCTCACCAGGTACCTGGTGTGACCACCCCCCCAGCCACTGCACCCTCACCAGGTACCTGGTGTGACCCCCCCCCCAAGCCACTGCACCCTCACTCGGGGTATGGCAAGGGGGGGGTTGCGTTTTTCACCCCATCTCAGCAGGGGCTGGCAGGTGGTTCTGGCGCAGGGTGGGGGCTGCCAGGTGGTTCTGGCCCCAGGCCTTGCCCTGGCGCCAGGAGCTGTGACCTGGCCACATGGCCCATCCCCAGGCCCCATCGCCAACATGCGGCACAACCTAGACGAGGTGATCCGCTCCATGGGCTGCACCGTGGAGCTGCAGATCAACCACAGCCGGCAGATCTGGAGGGTGTCCACGGCCCCCCTGCGCGCCGTGCTGCGCGACATGGTGGTGAGGAGCAGGGAGCCTGGGCAGGAGACCGGCTGGGATGGGCAATGAGGAACTCGGGCCAGGGGGGCACAGTGTGTGTGCAGTGGAGGGAGCGTGGGGGATTGGGGGGGGGAGGCCTGGAGCACTGGGGAGCCTGGCTGGGAGGGGGGCAAAGACACCAGGATGGCGGGGAGCCCAGG